AAATTTGCATTCCCGACGAGGAAGCAAAGCTGTGACATCCGACAGTCTCACAACCTGATCAGTGACAGATGAAGATAGACTTGCTCTACCCTGTTGGGTGTCACGGGTACCAGTGTCACCTAAGTGGCCTGGTGTGTAAATAGTTCTGTCTATAGGTGATGTCAGGGCAGGCGAATCATGACTGAGGGACGGTGGTGCATGAAAGTCTGTATGTGATGGTTGTGCATGTTTGTGTTTGTCCATTGCATATGTGTGTATGTCCTCTGCTGAAGCAGAAACTTGTCTGTGTGTATGGGTAAGTGCATTGTCTATGGGAACGGCAGGAACATTGGCCTCACCAGATCCAGAATCGATTGATGTCAGTTCCTGTAACAGTTCCTGAAGTGAGAGAAGTTGAGCCATACCTTCATCTTCCATTGTTTTCAACCTTTCACTTCTGGTGTAGTCGATGATAAAATCATAAAGCTCAGGTTCACTGAGGCCTTCTGTACTCTCACTGCCATCTTCAATAGCCCTGGCAACCAACTGCAGTTGACTGGTACTCAGAACAGGAAGCTTTTTGTGAATCTGGAAAATCAACATCCGTCGTGGGGTTACGGTAGCCATCGCGATTTTTCACCAGTGACGCTCACACTCTGGATGACGCTGGGCACAGCAGCCTTCCTTGAAGCTCGATCGCCAACCTCTACCCGTATCGTGACAGCTCTCCCCACTCGACGATGCAGAATCCCGGACGAGCCCCCAATTGTTACCGGCTCCAGACCTAGGGGAATCTGGACCGGCACAAGCCAAATCACGCACAAAACTGTGAATGATAAGGAGACAGACACGTTATAGCATTGCTCGAGTGCAGTTTAATATGTCAAAGATAATTACTTCTTTTAAAGCTAACACATTGTACACAGTGTTCCAGAATAAAACCAAACGTATATCCATAAGATAAAATTCAAATGTGTCATGGATATCAATACATCATATTACTCAATGCAATATCAATACACAATATCAATACACACTCAATGCAATGTAACTAGATTTTCTCTGTGAACAAAAGGCATTAATACATTGAACAAAAATACTTTAAACACTTGAATACACTCCTCAGAATACAGTCTTGGTCTTACTTTGAGATACTCAAGTAATATTACAAGAATTATTAAAATAATACATTTCTTACTCTATCTATAACTACTGGTATAAATGCAAAAATGATGCTAATCATTATAATTAATTCAATGTAACATTTTCCTTCACAACATTTCCAATTTACATTACATCAGCATTTATATTAACACTTGTTAATATATTTATGAGAAATACCGACAATTTAGGATTAAATAAATGTCACTTTTACTCATGTAATAACCCTAAGTTATTGAGAAAGCCAATTATGATGTTATAAAACCAAAAATCCAGCATTAAAACATTAAACTTGTACTATCACTTATTACTATTGTGTTACTATACACTACTATACAGCGTTATGCTTTCACAAACATTTTAGAAGAGAATCAATATAAAAATATGCCCCATATTAACCTAATCTGGCTGACATTCATAACAAATGTAACAATTACAGCAATTACTTAACATTAAAGTGCTTAGAAAAGGATCTAATGCATATTTCTGAATGCATACATCACTACATGCTCCGTTCACATCATTTGAGTTAACCATTAACTCATCATTAGCTTCGGCTGCTTTTGCTAACCACGAGTGGCTACAATGTTTACGATCTAATTAAACCAAAAACGAATCAATTCCTAGAACTAACACCTTCTAACATAGTTTCTTAACATTTCTTAAGAGTAAAGATGATAAATGTTTCACACAAACCACTTCAAATGAGTGTTTGTCCATACCTGTGAATGATAAGGAGACAGACACGTTATAGCATTGCTCGAGTGCAGTTTAATATGACCTCGAGCTGCCGGTCTCCTAGGTAACCCACTAACGCGCCACACTGCCCTCTACAGGTGTGGTGGTGAACTACATGAATCATTTCATTTACTCATAAGAACTAGAACAGGAATAAAACAAAAAAAATAGGTAAAGGGTGAGAGGGGGGGTTAACTTTTTCTTTTAATCACATTATATAAAATAATATCCCTCTATCCGTCACACCAGGGCAAAACTCACAGGTTGTAATAGATCAATGACAATGTTGACAGTATGTGTTTAAAATAATTGCAAACAAACCTGTTCTGTCTTGAGATGTATGACAGGCAATCATCGTCCTCATCTGTCTACCAGTCAGAAATCACAGTTGCATGTGGATGTTTTAGTCGAGCTTCCTCATATGCATCTATAATAAAACATCACATTGTTGTTAACCTCCCGTAAAGAAAAGTTCAAATCCTGAAATACTATCAAAGTTAATTAATGCCTATAATACCTATAGTGTAAATAATCAGTACACAGAAGGTTGCACAAGATTTATTCGGAGATTCATGCAGAGTGACAGCCTTATGAATCTGAGACATAGATTTGTAAGATGGTCAATAGGGTTGTGCCGATAGACGATACTTGCGTCTATCGACGATAGTCAGCCATATGGACGATAGCTAATAAAAATGACGATAATACGGCTTATTTTCTAGTTGTTGCTTTTTTTCAAAATTATTATTAGGCAGTTAATATTATCAAAGTACAATTCATTGGCCCTTGCATATTTCACACTGTCATCGTCGCGTAACCTTCACCCAACTGACACCAGAGGAATATATTTTAAAAATCATTCATAAATTTATCAGTGTTAGGCTAATATACAAAATTATGTAATAATATATAATTTTTGTTATTGTATAGTTATGCTATTTTTGTTGTAGGCTATAACAAAAATACTAAAACAAAACGAAAATAATGCACTTTTGCCGTTTTTTTTAACATGGTTAAAATAACTGTACAATGTCTCTTTATAACAAGCAGGCTTGACATAATTTGTGAAAGAAGGAAATTTAGTTTTAAAGTCGCTTAATATGTTTTTCAAAGAGGAGTGATTCTCTTTTAAAAATCGTCATATGCATGCAAGCCGCAAATGTATGATGCGTATTCAAAATAAATGCACAATAATCAGTCGGCTATGAAAATGAAAAGGTTTATTTCAAACTCTAACTTGTTTAACATATTTAACATAAAATAATGTTTATCTTGTTGCTAATAGCCAAACACGTTTCAATAAACAAAATGCAAAATTAAATAACCAAGAACTAAAATAATGCAATAGTTACATTGCTTGCAGATTTAAAACAATATGACTGTTTACGATGCAAGAGTAATGCTTCCGTCTACAGATTTTTTGCCAAAAAAACAAGTTGGTTAACTTTTTCTGGTTTGAGTAGGCTGCGAAGTGGAGTGATTATGTTACCGGCTGCGCTAAACACGCTCTCTGAAGGGGTGCTAGTTGCGGTAACACACAGGTATTTTTTTGCCAGGTTTGCCATTAAAGGAAAACGGCGTCTATTTTCTTTCCACCAGTCCAGTGGCTTGTCATCACCATCAATTACTTCCTCTTGTAAGTAAGACATGATTTCAGATTTTGCGCGCTGGTCTACAGGTGTGGATGTGGACACAGACGGCTTTGCTCTCCCAAGAAGACGACCCAGTGTTTTGATCCTCTTAGCCGGCTGATTCTCACTTGATGACGTACCTGCCGCATCTTCTTCCTCTTCCTCCTCCACTCTGATGGGTACAGGTGGCATATTCCAATATTCCACCATCTCAACCTCAAGCTGTGATTTGATCACATCAAGTTCTGCGGCATCGATGTGGTCGCCCTTATAGCGTGGGTCAAGGAGGGTAGATTTGCGCATTAGTTGGAGGGTACTGTCGTCATATTTCGAGTCGAGTTTCTCCAAAATCCGCCGTTTAATTCCTGCCGTCATCTCCACATCAGTCTCCTCCTCCTTCAGGATATCCTTTGTTAGCTGCAGCATGGGCAGCAGAGATGAGACTGTTACGTAATTTTCAGCTGATAAAATATCAGTAAATTCTGCGACAGGCTTCAACCCATCCCTGACAGCCTCTAGTACAGCAATGTCCTGCCAGGTCACGTTTGGGAGTGTTCCACGACGGCTCTTGTCATCAGCAAAAACCCTTTTGATGGCAGGAAGCTGTTCCAGAACTCTTACTACCATGGCATATGTTGATCCACAACGAGTTGTACAATCCTAAAATATATTAAATGACCATTATGCGTCGATTGTTAATGTGATCACTTATTACACTGTAAAAAGTTTTTCAAGCAGGCCCTCACCCAATTAATAATTTGTCTTCAATTAAATTTGTAATTATTTGTTTTATTTTTTAAGTAATATATTTTTAGTTTAAAAAGTTGCTCAATCTAAATATTTTTTATTAAGAACTCAATTAATAAATTTTTTGTTTTGACGAATATACAATTTTTAGGTTGGATATTTTGTACACGCATGCACATTATACACACTCATCACCACCAGCCAGTCAACGGTCCGCGGTCGAATCACAGACGACGCACTGGTCACTTGTGTGGATGTGTGGAAGTAAAGTTTAAGTTTTTAATAAATATCGATGTAATCAAAATTATTGATGTCTTTTTGTATGATTTGGTCAAATAATAATTATTTACAAATTTACAAATAATAATTATTTACAAAAAAAATCCAATTTTTAATTGAAAAAAATCTAATACATAGGCTATTTCTTAATTAGAATTTTTTGTTTTGATTACATCTAGGCTATTTCTTTTTGTTTTTATCAAAAACACAATTTAAACATTTTTACTTCATTCAACAAGAAAAATGTATAGGCCTACATTGTGCCAACTGCCAAGTTATATAAAATAGTTTTCTTAGATTTATAAAATATTGTTTAGGTCAAGTTACTTATTTTTCATTGACTAAAATGATAAAATATAGATGTGAACATTACCTTAATTTTTTTTAGTTAGCCTAGATCAACAGAAATCTTTTTACAGTGTATAGCCTAATTAAATAATATTATATTTGATTTACAAGTATTATTTCTAGTCTGACAAAAAAATATATTTTTTCTTATTTTTCACTAAGATGGTTGTGCCACAAGATAAATATTAAGCAAATAAAATATAATAATTTCTGTAGCGTTATCAGCATACGTTGAGGTAAATTTAGCTGTTCCTGCGCCTTGCGGAGCTCTTGTCGCCTCTTCCAGCTGTGAGAAAATGCCCCGTTAATATTGCGACAGATTCCAAGAGCGCGATCAGTTTTTGTTTTCTCCTTTTGTAGAGAATAATTCACTGCCACATTCAAGTTATGGCCAAAACAGTTCAGCCATGGCCATCCGAGCCTTCGTATGGCCGCAACAATATTGGCCCCGTTGTCAGTTGTAATGCATGAAATTTTACTCGGTTCTATGTCCCAATCTTGCATGGCATCTGACAGCGCCTCAGCCAGTACCTCTGCAGTGTGATTCTCCGGAATAAATGTTGTTTCCAGGCATTTTGCTTCTAGCTTCCAATCTTCCGAAATATAATGGACTGTCACAGACATATAGGGGGTCATGTTTATGCTTGACCACATGTCTGTGGTCAAAGCAACAAAGTTAGCAGCTTTCAGATCTTTAGCAATGATGTCCCTAGTTTCATTGTACAAGTTTGGGATAGCTGTTTCGGTGAAGTACTTGCGCCCAGGCAGCTCGTACTGTTTATCAAAGGTTTGAAGCAGGTCTTTAAAGCTTGCTTTCTCGACTGTATGATAGGAGACCATTTCCTTCGCAATGTACTTCGATACAGCTGCAGTGCACTGAGCCCACCTTTCACTGTTTCTTTTATACTTTGTGCTTTTTGAAAAAGCTCCGATGATTGATGGCTGACTTCGATCTTTGCTAATCGTGCCTTCTCTTGGCGCTAGTTTAGCAGCCTCAGCAGGGTGGCGGCCACGCAAATGTACGTACATGTTTGTGGTTTGTGATCCTTTTACCGGCACAACCTCCGAGCAAAGTCTGCAAACTGCCTGCGTGACATCGGCGGGTTCACCTTTTTCATCTGGTGTAAACCCGAAATATTGCCAAATAGGCGATGTGGCATTTTTCTTTCCCACCAACTCCATCTTCCTTGTCAGAATGATAGACGGTCCTCATTTCCCATGTGTCATTTCGCGTGATAATTAATAATTACGTTAATATTAAAATAAAAGTGTAAATTAAAAAGAAAAAGTAGACTAATAAGTAAATAAATGATCTTATAAATAAGCAAACAAATAAATAATTAAAAAATTGCCCCTCCCCCCGATACTATCGTGTATCGGCGATCTTACAGGCTGACGATAGGACGATATGACAATGGGCATTATCGCGCAACCCTAATGGTCAAGCACATGCATTATTCTGTACCCATGAAGATTAACCTACCATTGTGAAAAATGTTTGATGATGATAGCCAATAACAATAAACCATTTCAGCTGTTTGTGAAGCAATTAGTAATGTAATGTCTGAAAAGCTCAATCTATGTTGAAAATGTATCAGCAGTTTACAGCTTATAATGGACTTTTAGCACACAACTATAGCATGCCTATTCACGTTCAAAAGAGTGTGCCATTGACTTCTTTGGTCGTGATGTACTGCAAAATGATCTCACTAACCTTTGTTAAACAAGAACAATGAGACTTAACCAACAAATATTGTTACCCATTCATTTAAATCAGAATTTATCACTGTCAATAACATAAAAAACAAACAAAAAAAACATCAAAATCTGCTTTAAGACGTTCAGTTTTACATTAACTGACCATTACAGCTTGAACAAAAGATATAATTGATTCACATAGGCTAACTAACACATATGAATTAAAGTGCATAGTAATATATTTCTCTTGGATAATTTAAAGAGAATAGTAAACAGTCGAGTTTCGATCACTTTTCGTGACTAACTGCATAAACAAGATAAACAATAATATTTTATTAATCCAAAACGATTAGTTTTTATTTACACAATCACAGAATTAATACTGTTGGATAAGTAAACGCCTGTACAATGATTTTTTCAACATCCACGGTACTTTATAATGTTAAATCAGGAAAAAAAACACGTTTTGCCATGTTAGTTAATGGATTCGTCTACAGAAACTTTCTTTAACGCAAAGTTAGCATACACACAAATTCGTTTCATGTTTCTTTAAAATAATTAAAATAGTTTTCAGTTACTACACACGTTACAATCTAACATTGTGTTAAAGGAAAATGAACTTTCAGACGTGTTTGTAACTGTTAGCGTTAGCATACATTAGCTCCAGTCGTGTTTCTTAAAGCAAGTTACATTTCGTATCAAACTGTTTTAAATTACTAAACGCTGTTACAACCAAACACCGTGGAAATGTTTTAAGCTCTAAATTCGCTAATTATACAGTACACAAGCAGTAAAAAGCTTACCTTTCTGACCGGAATCCACGTGAAGTCTTTAAAAAAAACAAACTTTTTCTTCTTGTGATCTTCGTGCCATGGTGGTTGACAACCAGCTTTTTGGAGCATTACCGCCACCGTCTGGATTGGAGTGTGGATCATGAGTTTAGTCACGCATGTGTTTATTATGAAACCAACTTCTGCTTTAAAACAAAAACAGTCAGCACAGGAGCGTGCTATCTCAAAAATAAGCGAATTTTACATAGTTTTTCTCTAGATGACATGTATAATCTATTTATAAATAATATTGTTTTGTTTGCGTCTAAACATTGCGACCATCCACACTAAATATTCTTTTTTTTTTTTTTTTTGCTATCGTACCATGAATATTTTCTCAAATTATCATTAAACGTGGAGCTAACAGATTACTAGATAAAATAAGAACTTAATCGGTTGCCATCAGCCTTAATCGGTTGCCATATGGTTGACCGGAATCAGGCCAGTGCTTTACAGCCGCATCACAACCGCATGTGCGCGAGCGAGCTGCGGGCCGCACTCGGCCCGGATAACACTCGCCGATGCCGAGTCGGAGCTGGAGGCGACGGAGGGCAGCCGAGCTCGGGCCGATTACTGCCTGCTATCTGGGTTGATTTAACTAACTCTTGTCACCTGTTTTGGAACCAACATACTCGCGGTAAGCAGGTTTTGGGTAAATCAACCGAGAGTTTAGGTTTTAGCAGATGGTAAGTTAACCCAGCTTTCTGGAATACCCCCTTGGTTTGTATGATTGTTTAAGAGCAAGGGCTTTATGATAATAATAATAACAATAATACTACTACTAATAATAATAACAATAATAATAATTATTATTATTATTATCACTTACTAGTGTTTTTATTGTTTAGTTTTTCTTTCTTTTTAATAGTTGTTAGCAGAACCAGAATAAGAACACATTAGGCCCTGCTATATAAACAAAGGTTACCATTTGTTTTTATTTTATTTCTTCATATTTTTATTATATATTGAAATTATTTATTTGATAATTAATACTATTTTATTGCAACGCCAAAGTAGGCCTGTCTTAATATTTTTTGTAATTTGCTGTTATTGTTATTGTAGGCTACATGGCAGGCTATGCAAAATATTTGAAAATAACATTTACTCATAACCTTACTAATTCGAGAGTCAAACTTAAAAAAGTTGTAATAGGTGCAGCCTGTACAATAAAGTGAGCCGCAATGCATATTTCTAGCTCATTTTTTCACTCAACAATTATTGCTGAAATAATTAAATAAATTTCAAATTAACTAATTAAACACATTATAGCTGATAAAAAATAGTGCCTAGTAGTTCCGATAAACAACAGATGAGCTCGCTGCATGTGCATTGCGCTAATAGTTTGACATTGCTCTTCTTGAGAAAGTGCTACAGCGGGCCCTGCTTATTTCACATATAAGGTTGGTGATAAGTAATTTTTTTATTTATTTTTTTGCACATTATTTTGACAATAAATAAGGCACCCAGTATTTCTGATGCACAGTCTCTTTTATGGCTACACTAATGAATTAGAGGACACAATCTCAAACAAAACTTGATGCTTGTTTACATTATCTAAAGTCATTTCTTCCGAGGTAGGATCTGTTGTTGTAAAGCTTATATATTTTCGTTTTAATATGCAAATAATTTTCTTTAATTTGTAATAGGCCTATATTGTCCATCATTGCATAAAATAACCAGCCTTTGTATTTAATATATTTGTAAATTGTCCATCCAGTTTGACGCAAGTTAAACAACATTTTGGCCTGTTTTGCTTATTAAATGAGTGATTTTCACGGCGAAACAAATTATCCATCCACACAGTTTTGTATAGGACCTATGTGAACAAAAATATACACTTAATCGTAGCCTATAGGAAAATATATCTGTTTAGAACCAATTTTGTTTGGTATAATTAAAAATATTAAAAACACAATTAAAATAAAAAGGAAGAATAACAATTGAAGTGCAATGCTTCAAAATAAGATTCACAATACGCTGCATGCAGCGCCAAAACACAAACTGATTTGTTAGTTTAATAAAATAATAATATGAAATTAAAGAGAAATATTCATAGTTCCATAACTGTATTATAACTGTATTTATCTAAATGACAAATAATCCGTTGCGCCGGTCAGTTTCACTTTTAATCAAGAATGTGCCAGAACAGCCTTTACAGACTCTTCTAAAAATGAGAATATTTACAGATTACCTTGGAATAAGAACTCGGTCTGTGAAAGATGCAGAACACAGAAACTCGTTGAGAATGGATATGCATGTTAGATGTTTTATACCTCTTTAGATATTGTATATAAGCAACAAGTTTTTATTAAGATTGTGTCATGGGTTTTCTTTGACACACGCGCTGAACAGCTCCGAAAAGGCGGTTCTAGCCTGTAGCCTAAATAATAGTTTCGATTTTATAACATATAATCTTTCATTACTTTAAATGTAATATGTTTTTTAATATTTATGGATTATATAAAATATATAGTTTATATAAATGCGCTGTGATTATTCAAGGATCATAATGCGTTGCATATTCTTCTTATTCTTCATTAGGCTTGATCCGTAAATTGTGTATTTCATAAACTGATCGTTTATAAGGACTAAGCTATTAATAACTGTAATTCCTCGCATGGAAAAGTCTTGATGAAAGAAATAAAGACAACCTAATTCGGCATAGGCATATAGTGCACTTATTTCTGCGTGCATCGCGCACTTTACCGAATTACCTTTTATATTATTTTATGCAGTAAATGCATCCGGCAGCACCGAAAAGAACCAATGTCAAGTTATTAGCGCAGCGCACAGACAGCTAGCTCGTCTGTTAGTCTGAACCAGGGGTTTTCAAACTATTCATTGCACATCCACCGATCCTATTGTATTTTATTTAGGATAAACCACTTATTTAAAATATTCCTCGGCCTGCCATGGCAAGGCCTACATATATATATTGCCACAATAATAACAGCAACAAATAACAAAAAAATAAGACAGACCTACTTTGGTGTTGCATTAAAATCTTAAAGAGCGTTTTCACGGGTTGCCTGCATACTCTCCAATACACCACTGAATTATAATGTCATAATATTTAATGATTATAATTAAGATAAACACCTGGGGCCTCATGTACGAAGACTTGCATGGAAATAAAACATACTAAAACATTGCGTACGCACAAAGCTGTAAATGTGCGTACGCAGAAAAAAATTCAGATGTATAAAACACTGCGTACGCCGAATCTCACGCATATTCTTTTGTACATCTGAATGAACGTGAAACTGAGCGCAACATGCACGAGCACAAAACCCCTCCCTGCCTCCTCCCCCGTATAAATATCCTAATGACTATGCTAATGGAAAAACCCAACGAAAAAGCAATGTCAAAAGCAAGCAAAAAGAGAAACTTTGAACAGAATGTGAAATGGAGGTGCTGCTTTCGGAGGTAGACCGGAGAAAAGCAGTGTTATTTGCAAGTTTGTTCTCCGGAATTAACAACAAAAGAAAAAAATAGAGTGGGAGAGTTTAGCTGATGCGGTCAACACAGTTGGGTCTTAACATCGCACTGAGTGCATTAAAAAAAAAGAAATAGTGTGGTTTATATCTGTAAAATGTTGCAGGATGCTCAACAGTCTCAGTGGCGCTACTTGTAAGACGCATGTCATCATGAATTGACACGTTCGACCATGAACTCGGCTCGAATCCAGCGTCTGATGAATTCTTTCTTGTTTTTTCCCCCGCTACATATCAGATTTTGCCAACTATTTATCACGAGAAAGACAAGTAGGAATCATCAATAAGTT